TGGGAATGGACAGCTGACTGATAACAAACTGGAATTGTTCCATATTTAACCCTTTCAGGATCCGTCCCGTAGATCTACGGCTTTACGTTCAGGATCCAAACCGTAGATCTACGTCATGAGCTCAGCTCACTCTGATAAACTGTGAGTGGTAAATTTGGGCCTAGATATGAGAGAATACATATATGTGGTATGTGTGCACCACATAAAACAAATCCTGCAGCACACTGTGTATGATGAGAAAAAAAACAGACCGTGATTTTCGATTAAAACAGCGACTTTGCAGTGTTTTTTCGTATGTTTTTTATAGTTGTATTTGTGATTTTTTGGTCTCATTTGATAAAATGGAAGACATATTACAGAAATAGAGATAATTTTGATTGGTTTTAGCACTGGAAATGGCTTGAAACTGAGCTCAAAGTGGCGGAAATGTTAAATTTTTGCCAATGTTCAGGAGTAAACAAACGACCTCACACGTCTAATACACGTCAGCTGGTGGGTCTAATATACATTCACAAATGTGGTGATGATATTTATACAATTATTACAATATTGCATAACAGTAAATCTTCTATTTTTTGGTGTGAATAAAAATTCATTGTGAATAAAAAATCAAAATGGAATTTATTTGTAAAGCCTCAAAACATAACCAATGAACAGAAGAAATGTTAGTTTAGTGCCAGGAATACCTACATTGTTTATTCTGGACCCTATTTGGAATTGGAATATTTTGAACTTTGTGTTAAATTGGCCAAATTACCAATTTCTGATCACTTTATTTTGTAGTTGAAACAGTTGACTTGGCGATTTCTTGTGCTCAATCAATAGAATAGAAGTAATACTAGTGAAATAGCTAAGAATTTGGTCGACTGGAATAATGGAATTGGCCTAAAATGGGAGTCAAAGTCGGCAAAATCGCCGCTTCGTAAATATTGCTGACACATCAAAATTCACGAGAGCATAATTTCGTCAATTTTCCATCAAATTTCGTACTTTTTGTTTTATTACTTTCACAAAATGATTCTCTACCATTTCATAAGAAAAAATAACAATTTTTTTTTTTTTTTTTTTTTTTTGAAAATTCTTGGACACTGGGGTGCCACTTCAGATTTTGGCCTTGGACCCTGAAAGGGTTAATGACTATTTTTTGTCAGTTTTTACACAGGAAGACATAAATGAAATCCCAGAAATTAACAATTATTCAGTTCCTGACGAATTCAAATTGACTAATATTACTGTGACGAGGGACATGGTTATCAAACAGTTACAGACTGAAGCAAAATCAGTCCCTGGGGCCCGACGAGTTGTTTTCCAGGGTACTCGAGGAATGCAAGATGGAACTTAGTCAGCCATTAACGAGTGTGTTTAGTGCATCCATCCTTACTGGTGTTGTGCCAGAGTTGTGGAAGCTGGCTAATGTGGTTCCTATATTCAAATAAAAGGATAAGTCTGTTCCTTCAAATTACCACCCAATAAGCTTGACATCTATAGTGGACAAGTTATTAGAATCAATTATAGCTGACATAATTAGAAGTCACCTTGAAGAGCATAATTTGATAAACGAATCTCGGCATGGGTTCACTAGAGGTCGTTCCTGAGTGACAAATTTACTGACGTTCTTCAATAGAACATTTGAGGCAGTGGGCGGTGATAAATAGCATCATATTGTTTATTTGGATTTTAGTAAAGCCTTCGATAGAGTACCTCACATGGGACTCTTAACCCTTTGAGGGTCGACAGGCCCTCTCCGAAACTCGTTCTCAGGGTCGGCCAAATTTAAAAAAAAAAAAAATTATTTTCTCTTATGAAAAGATAGAGAACCTTTTCCCAATCATAAAGACACCAAAAGTTTGAAATTTGATAGAAAACTTACGGAATTATGCTCTCGCAAAGTTAGCGGTCTCGGCGATATTTACGCATCGGCGATTTTGCCCACTTTGAGCCCCATTTTCGGCCAATTTCACTGTACTAGTCGACAAAAAACATGAATATTTCGCAAGAACTCCATTTTTTCTATCGAATGGGTGCAAGAAACCACCCATTTATGAAATTCAACTATCCAGTACAGTGGTCAGAATTTAGCAATTTTGCCAATTTCACACAAATTTCAAAAGATGCCAATTTCCGAATAGGGTCCAGAATAAACAAGAAAGACATAACTGGCACTAAAATGACATTTCCTCTAGTCATTAGTCACGTCTCAAGGCCCCTCTTATATTCTTTTGCTTTCCACTTTGAATTTTTATTTTCACAAAAAATATAAGATTTACTGTTATGCAGACTACTGCATTAGTGTAAAAAATAGTATAAATATTATTGGCGCACTTGTGAAAGAATATTAGACTCACCAGTTGACGTGTATTGCACGCTTGGCACGATTTGTTTACTTTTGAAGTTTGGTAAAAATCGAACATTTCTGCTACTTTGAGCTCAATTTCAAGGCACCTTTCATTGTAAAACCAGTCAAAATCATCTCAATTTATGTAATATGTCTTCCATTTTATAAAATGAGACCAAGAAAACTAGAATACAACAATAAATACCATACGAAAATACACTGCAAAGTCGCTGATTTATTAAAAAAAATGGTCAAAGTTTTTTTTTTCTCATTATGCACTGTGTGCTGCAGGATTTTTTTTAGACTGTGCACACTGACCACATAGACCCATTCTTTCATATGAAGGCCTACCAGCTTTCTCCCACTAGATTTGAGGCCGCTAGAATTTATGAGTACTAGTACGTCAAAAACCCCTACGCGTAAGACATACTAGTACGACCAAAACCCTCAAAGGGTTAAGAAAAGTGGCAGGTCATGGTATAGGAGGTAAAGTTCTAACATGGATAGAGGCATGGCTTACAATAGAAAGCAGAGTTTCCATTAATGGGGTCAAATCTGAATGGGGATTAATCACTAGTGGTGTTCCACATGGATCAGTTTTAGGCCCTCTCTTGTTCATAATTTACATTAATGACCTTGATGAAGGGATTACGAGTGACAGGAGCAAATTTGCTGATGATAAAGATAGGCCGCATAATTCATTCTGAGGAAGATAGCAATGAACTCCAAGAGGATTTGGATAAATTAATGTCTTGGTCTGAAAAATGGCAGATGAAGTTCAGTGTGAATAAGTGTAAGATACTAGTCCTTGGTAATGAAAATAACCCTCGAAGCTTTAAACTAGGTGAAGTAGAGGTTGATCATACAGACTGTGAAAGACTTGGGAGTTATGGTAAGCAGAAAGCTAAAGCCAAGACAGCAGTGCCTAAGTGTGCACAACAAGGCTAACAGATTGCTTGGATTTATCTCAAGAAGTATAAGTAACAGAAGTCCAAAAGTTATTTTACAGCTCTATACATCACTAGTGAGGCCTCATTTAGATTATGCCGCTCAGTTTTATTCTCCTTACTACAGGATGGACATAGACTGATTGGGGAATATACAGAGAAGAATGGTTAAAATGATTTACTGTGTAAGGAATCTCCCGTATGGTGATAGACTTAAAGCCTTAAATCTCCACTCTCTGGAGAGACGTAGAATGAGGGGAGATATCATTGAAGTGTATAAGTGGATGACGGGCATAAACAAAGGAGATTATTATTAATAAAGTACTCAGGGTGTCAAACCAGGTAAGAACCAGAAATAATGGATTTAAGTTGGATAAATTTAGATTTAGAAAGGACATAGGTATGTATTGGTTTTCTGGTTTTCTAACAGAGTTGTGGATGCGTGGAACAATCTTCCCAGTAGGGTGATAGAGGTTAGGACTTTGGGTAGCTTTAACCCTTTGACTGTTGCAGGCCCCTTTCTGATACTGTCATTGTATGTCGATAAATTTAAAAAAAAAAAATGAATTATTGTTTGTTATGAAATGATAGAGAATCTTTTCCCGATGGTAATGACACCAAAAGTACGAAATTTGGTCGAAAACTCGCGGCATTATGCTCCCGCAAAGTTAGTGGTCTCGGCAACATATACGCATTGGCGATTTTGCCGACTTTAAGTCTTCTTTTTGGCTAATTCCATTGTTCCAGTTGACCAAACTCATAGCTATTTCTTTAGAACTCCATTTTGTCTATCTGTTGAGTACAAGAAACCTCCCATTTACCGATTTGAACTACCTAATAAAGTGGTCAGAAATTGCCAATTTGGCCAATTTCATGCGAATTAAAAATGATGCCAATTTCAAAATAGGGTCCAGAATAAACAATGTAGACATTCTTAGCACTAGAATAACATATCCTCTGTTAATTAGTCACGTCTCTAGGCCCCTCTTACATTATTATTGCTTTCTATTTTGATTTTTATTCATTATTACAAAAAACACCAATTGGTACTTCGATTTGGTGTCGTAATATAAAAGTTCGGGATACAAAATAAACATTAAAATAAAAATTATCTTTAATATTATATAAAAACAATCTTTGGTCTAGAGGTATTTTAACACATATACATGTTACAATAATAAATTATTAGCATCTTCCTAAAATAATAAATAATTCATGACCCTACACACAGGGTACAACTTTCTGACACTACTGTGTCATATATATACATATGCTAAAATAATAAATAAGAAGTAACATCTTTGTACAATAATAAATTATAATCAACTGCATTCTTAGCGTGTCTCACGACACCCTTATGACGCTCCGTGTCACACGACACTTATCCGAGTTGTGACGCTTCTTCTCAACCATGTCACTTGACACCCTTTTCTCTGCATCATACACACTTTCTCAACTGTCACCCTTGACACCCTTGTCTCTGCGACACACACTCACTATCACCCGCATAGCGTCTTTCCTCTCAGAGGCCAGTTACATGACACTATTCAGTGTACACTACAATCGTATCTTCAGTGTCACACGACACCCTTTTCTTCTCAGTGTTCCACTACGATCCTATAGCTTATTTCAGTGTTACACTCCGTCATACTTCCTTCAGTGTCACACTACGGTCCCAGCCCAGTTCAGTGTCACACTCCAACCTTTTCTTCATACAGTGTCACACTACAACAGCATCAGATGACTTGGCCCACAGTTGACCAGCGTAGGCAGTGAGTCCGCAGACATCACCTACAATTGTACTTCCTGGTAGTCCTGTAAATACTCTAAGGCCAGCAGAAGCACACCGTAAGGTGGTCTGGTGAGCACTGTCTACCGCCTCCAAGACCAGTTGACACACACCGCAAGATGGTCCAGTGAATACTACTAGCAGAACACACTATGTTGCGAGTTCACTGAATGCGGCCATCAAGTAACTGAGGCCATTAAACTCAGTGAGCTGCGGTAAGCGCTTCTTCTAAAGCCAGTAGAAGCCAGTAGATATACCATAAGATGGTCAGATGAATACTCTCTACTGCCAGTAGATGTAAACCGTAAGGTGTTCTGCTAATTACTGCTTCTAAAGCCGGCTCAGCAGTCCCCACATTGGGTTTGATGACGTACCCTTGGTACTGCCAGCCGGCAGGTTAAGCATTTAACTGCTAGTTTGGCAGGGGGCCGTCACATTCATACAAAAAAAAAAAATACAAAATTTACTGTTATGCAGGCTACTGCATTATTGTAAAACTGGTATATATAATATCAGTGCACTAGTGAAAGAATATTAGACACCCCAGTTGAAGTGTATTGGATGTGCTGTGTGATTTGCTTACTCCTGAACATTGGTAAAAATTGAATATTTTCGCTACTTTGAACTCAATTTCAAGGTCGTTTTCATCGCCAAACTAATCAAAATCATCTCTATTTCTGTAATATGTTTTCCATTTTATCACCTGAGACCATGAAAACAAGAATACAACAATAAATACTATACAAAAATACACCTCAAAGTTGGCGTTTTAATTCCATAAAACGGTCAGTTTTTTTTTCTCATTATGCACTGCATAATGTGTCTGTGTAATGGACCTGTGTGGTGCACACTGACCACACAGACCCATTCTCTCACATGTGGGCCTACCAGCTTTCTCCCGCTTTGAAGCCTGCTAGAATTTACGCGTATAAATACGTCAGAAACAGTGGTTTGTAAGACGTATATATACGATCGAAACAGTCAAAGGGTTAAGAAAAGATTGGACAAATATATGAGTGGGAGGGGCTGAGTTTGATTGGTGTCGTTGGATATGGGAGTTAATTCTTGGGTAGCTTTGGGTAAAGGTCATTTTGATAAGGACCTGCCTTGTATGGGCCAGTAGGCCTTCTGCAGTGTTCCTCCATTCTTATGTTCTTATGTATAGAGCTGTAAAATAACTTTAGGACTTCTGTTACTTATTCATCATGAAGTAAATCCTAGTAATGTTAGCCTTGTTGTGCACATTTAGGCACTGCTGTCTTGGCTTTAGATTTCTGCTTACCATGACTCCCAAGTCTTTTTCACATTTTGTATGATCAAGTTCTACTTCACCTAGTTTATAGCTTCGAGGGTTATTTTCATTCACAAGGACTAGTATTTTATACTTGTCCACATTGAACTTCATCTGCCATTTTTCAGACGAAGACATTAATTTGTCCAAATCCTCCTGGAGTTAATTGGAATCCTCCTCAGAATGAATCATATGGCCTATCTTTGTATCATCAGCAAATTTACGCATGTCACTTGTAAATGTTGCATATGTGTCTAATTTATCAACTTGTCGGTTCTCTGAACCGTTCATCTACATTCCTGTCTGACACAGCAACATCTTAGGATCTTAATACAGGGAATTCTTCACTCGTCTAACTCTTGGGCATGACCTACTTCCACATTGGACAAATGTGATACCACTATGACTGCTGCACCTCTCCTGCCTATGGTATATAAGCTTCTCCTCAGATATGCTGTATTCTTTTCAAGATTGATGGACTGACCACATCGACTCAAGGCTGAGGGACTGATTACCTCAGACTCCTCCTGTTCACCATTCTCCTTTGTATGGACTGATGAAGCCAGTGTGGGGAAGTACCCTGGCTGGTGTGTGTGGGGGAAAGTACCCTGGCTGGTGTGTGTGGGGAATTACCCTGGCTGGTGTGTGTGGGGAAGTACCCTGGCTGGTGTGTGTGGGGAAGTACCCTGGCTGGTGTGTGTGGGAAAGTACCCTGGCTGGTGTACATAAAGCAGGAACACTGCAGCAGACCTGTTGGCCCATACTACCACCCTCTATGACCATCACAACCACTACCAAACTCTACCACCACCACTTTCGTATCTTTCTACAAACTTTTTCTTTAATTCTATAGTGTTCCTCACCCTCTTTACCAAAGGGCTGGCACTAGAAGCTTTCTTTCGGCTCATGGTGGCTTATTTAGCAGTTACAAGCACTTAAAACAATGGAATAATACATAATACAGTGGACCCTCAGCTAATGCTATTAATCCGTTCCTGAAAGCTCATCGTATGCTGAAATTATCATTAGCTGAATTAATTTTCCCCATAAGAAATAATGGAAATCAAATTAATCCATGCAAGACACGCCAAAGTATGAAAAAAAAAATTTTTTACCACATGAAATATTAATTTCAATGCACGCAAACTGACACTTACCTTTATTGAAGATCTGGTGATGATTGATGGGATGGGAGGAGGGGAGAGTGTGGAAGTTGTTAATGTTTAGAAGGGGTATCCCCTTCCATTAGGACTTTAGGTTACTTCCCTTCTTCTTTTAATGCCACTAGGACCAGCTGGAGAGTCACTGGACCTCTGTCGCACAACATATCTGTCCATAGAGGCCTGTACCTCTCGTTCCTTTATGATTTGTCTAAAGTGGTTCACAACATTGTCGTTATAATAGTCACCAGCACGGCTTGCAATAGCTGTGTGAGGGCGATTTTTCATCCATAAAGGTTTGCACTTTCAAGCCACTTTGCACACATTTCCTTAATCTTTGAAGTAGGAAACTTCTTCAGTTTTTCTCTCCCCTCCTCCGAAGCAGTTTCCTCAGGTCTGGTCTCTTGCTGTTGAAGATGATCTTGCAGTTCATCAGTGGTTAGTTCTTCATTGTCCTCCTCCACCAACTTTTCCACATCCTCCCCACTAACCTCCAACCCCAAGGACTTCCCCAATGCCGCAATTGATTCCACAACTGGCATACACTTCTCAGGGTTAGCCTCAAATCCTTCAAAATCCCTTTTGTCTACATATGTGGCCACAGTTTGTTCCAAGCAGAGTTCAAGGTCCTCTTAGTCACTCCCTCCCAAGCCTTACCTATAAGGTTTACACAACTGAGGATACTAAAGTGATCTTTCCAAAACTCTCTTAGTCAATCGAGTGTGTGGTCACTACCTGGAGTTTACCTGGAGAGAGTTCCGGGGGTCAACGCCCCCGCGGCCCGGTCTGTGACCAGGCCTCCTTAGGTCAGTGTCCCAGGATGCGACCCACACCAGTCGACTAACACCCAGGTACCCATTTTACTGATGGGGAACATAGACAACAGGTGGAAAGAAAAACGTCCAATGTTTCTACTCTGGCTGGGAATCGAACCCAGGCCCTCACCGTGTGAAGCGAGAGCGTTAACCACCAGGCCACCAGAGCCCCTACAAAGCACTTTTGAAACAGCTTTTGTGTAGAGTTTTTTGAAGTTTGAAATGACCTGCTGGTCCATGGGCTGCAGGAGAGGAGTGGTATTAGGAGGCAAAAACTTGTCCTTAATGAAGCTCATGTCCCCAGAAAGTCGCTCTGCCAAGTCTGAAGGATGACCAGGGGCATTGTCTAATACCAGGAGGCACTTAAGTTCCAATTTATTTTCCAGGAGGTAACTTTTCACAGTGGGGGCGAATGCATGGTGTAACCAGTCATAGAAAAGGTCTCTAGTGACCCTTGCCTTACTGTTTGCCCGCCACATCACACACAAATTAGCCTTGAGGACATTGTTTCTCCTGAACACTCCGGGGGTTTCAGAGTGATACACCAATAAAGGCTTCACTTTGCAATCACCACTAGCATTAGCACACATCAAGAGAGTAAGCCTGTCTTTCATAGGCTTATGTCCTGGGAGTGCCTTTTCCTCCTGAGTAATGTAGGTCCTGTTTGGCATTTTCTTCCAAAACGGGCCTGTTTCGTCGCAATTAACCCTTTGAGGGTTTCGGACGTACTAGTACGGCTTACGACCCAGGGTTTTTGACGTACTAGTATGCCTAAATTCTAGCGCCCTCAAATCTAGTGGGAGAAAGTTGGTAGGCCTCCATATGAAAGAATGGGTCTATGTGGTCAGTGTGCCTGGAGTTTACCTGGAGAGAGTTCCGGGGGTCAACGCCCCCGCGGCCCGGTCTGTGACCAGGCCGCCTGGTGGATCAGAGGCTGATCAACCAGCTGTTGCTGCTGGCTGCACGCAAACCAACGTACGAGCCACAGCCCGGCTGATCAGGAACCGACTTTAGGTGCTTGTCCAGTGCCAGCTTTAAGACTGCCAGGGGTCTGTTGGTAATCCCCCTTATGTATGCTGGGAGGCAGTTGAACAGTCTCGGGCCCCTGACACTTATTGTATGGTCTCTTAACGTGCTAGTGACACCCCTGCTTTTCAGTGGGGGGATGTTGCATCGTCTGCCAAGTCTTTTGCTTTCGTAGTGAGTGATTTTCGTGTGCAAGTTCGGTACTAGTCCCTCTAGGACTTTCCAAGTGTATATAATCATGTATCTCTCCCGCCTGCGTTCCAGGGAATACAGGTTTAGGAACCTCAAGCGCTCCCAGTAATTGAGGTGTTTTATCTCCGTTATGCGCGCCGTGAAGGTTTTTCTGTACATTTTCTAGGTCAGCAATTTCACCTGCCTTGAAAGGTGCTGTTGGTGTGCAGCAATATTCCAGCCTAGATAGAACAAGTGACCTGAAGTGTGTCATCATGGGCTTGGCCTCCCTAGTTTTGAAGGTTCTCATTATCCATCCTGTCATTTTTCTAGCAGATGCGATTGATACAATGTTATGGTCCTTGAAGGTGAGATCCTCCAACATGATCACTCCCAGGTCTTTGACGTTTGGTGTTTCACTCTATTTTGTGGCCAGAATTTGTTTTGTACTCTGATGAAGATTTAATTTCCTCATGTTTACCATATCTGAGTAATTGAAATTTCTCATCGTTGAACTTCATATTGTTTTCTGCAGCCCACTGAAAGATTTGGTTGATGTCCGCCTGGAGCCTTGCAGTGTCTGCAATGGAAGACACTGTCATGCAGATTCGGGTGTCATCTGCAAAGGAAGACACGGTGCTGTGGCTGACATCCTTGTCTATGTCGGATATGAGGATGAGGAACAAGATGGGAGCGAGTATTGTGCCTTGTGGAACAGCTTTTCACTGTAGCTGCCTCGGACTTTACTCTGTTGACGACTACTCTCTGTGTTCTGTTAGTGAGGAAATTATAGATCCATCGACCGACTTTTCCTGTTATTCCTTTAGCACGCATTTTGTGCGCTATTACGCCATGGTCACACTTGTCGAAGGCTTTTGCAAAGTCTGTATATATTTCATCTGCATTCTTTTTGTCTTCTAGTGCATTTAGGACCTTGTCATAGTGATCCAATAGTCGAGACAGACAGGAGCGACCTGTTCTAAACCCATGTTGCTCTGGGTTGTGTAACTGATGGGTTTCTAGATGGGTGGTGATCTTGCTTCTTAGGACCCTTTCAAAG